TATTTCACTTGCGAGTGGAACAGTTATTGCGGGACTCGGGAGCGAGGAAATATAAATTTCAGGACTTCCTGGACGTTTTTTGCAGAAAGAAAGAAAAATTTGGCGAGTATGATCAGGGGAAAGAAAAATGAGACTTCTACGAAATGACCTTCTTCAAATTTAGCAAGCCTGAAAACTGGAAGAAGAAGAAGAGGCGAGGAAAGCTTCCTTCCATGTTTGTCACAAATGCAAAAACCACGAGAAAAAAAAAATTATCGTAATTGGACTTTTCCGTTCATTTTCCAGTCCTCGAAGATCATCATTCAAAACCCATGATTCAAGGAAAACATTTTTTTTACACATTATGTGGTGTTTATCAGGATTTGACAGAGAGAAAAAAATTACAGATTTGAATAAGAAAAATCGCTTTATCAAAGCACTGTTTCTCTATCTCTCGCTCTTTGAAGTTTTAATCTGGAAATTCCCGACAGAAAAAATAGATTTGAATTCAGAACATTTGTCGTTTTTTAATCTGTCAGACGAGAGAAGTGAAAAGATAAAAACGGACGTTTGAAAAATGTTTTTCATCGCCGGAAATGAGCATAGTCTGAAAATACAAATTAGGAACCAAAATTGAAGCTTTCTGAAAGTTTTTCGGCCTATTCTTCAAATGCTAATAACAAAATTAAGCGATAGGAAAAAGGATTCCATTTAAAATGTTTAAAAGATCTCAGAACCTCCTATATATATTCAAAATGCCGAAAACATTTCCATTTTTTATTTCAGTCCAATCGGAAAAAAGAAATCATCCGAAAACGCCGTTTTCTCAATTCGATCTTTGGCTTGTGCAATTTTTTTCTTGAAACAATGCGAAAAATTATGGGATACTGTACAACGTAAAATCACTTGACGACATCAATGAAATAAAATAAAATCACTGCATTTTAAAAAGATTGAATAATCTTTGAGCAAATTTTAATCGAAGGACTTCATTTCCGCAAAATTTGTCGAGCGCAATTCTAAATTGCACGTGACCCAAAGTATACCATTCATTTTTACCAGTAAATGATCCGAAATTTTTGAAAAAAATTTCAACTATCGATTACCGATAATTGCGTTTGACCATTCACGTGTTTACATAATATGCAGTACACATTTCTTTCGCAATTTTAATTAAAAGGCATTTATATTTTTAGGCATTTTCGGCAGCGGACCTCTAACTTAGTGTGCTATTATAAAGAGGAGTTTTCTGTGCTTTTTTATTTGGTAAAAGGGGTATTTAAGGACAGAGTAATCGCAGACAAAACCTCGCCTATACATCATTCACTGAATCTAAAAACACAACGCAAAAAAAAAAAAAAAAAATTCTTCCGAAAATCGGAGACAGAAAGGATTCCCAAAAAGTCCTTCTCTTGCCAACAACCCAAAAAAATCGAGATGATTTCCATAAATTTTCCTCTAGCTTGAAAAAAAAAGAAGAAAAGCTCTCAAGAAACACCCAAAATTTTACCCTCAAAAAATAAAGCAAATGAAGAAAAATAGGCCCCCTTCTCCATATATATTATACCCAGACATTCCTCAGCAATTTTATCCCTCTCCCCACCATTTTCCACGTCGCCAAGAATCCTCATCGCAATTCCCTCGCCCCGAAAAAAAGAATAGCAAAAAGGGGGATTAAAACTTATATATAGGGGACGCAAAAGAAGACGACTTAAAAAAAAAGTATATATATATGGGGTAGGTGGTGGTGGTGGTGGTGGTGAATAAGAATTAGAAAACAAAAGGAAACTCGTCCAACCAGGAGAGTAATAAAGTGGACAAACCCGGGCCACACGCCTTTTGTTCCTGATCAAAACCGCGTCCAGTCCCAACGGCCGAGAAAAGCACACACAAGCCCTTCCGCGGAAACCGGTAATTTTTTCCGGAATTTTAATTTCCCCGAATTTTAATTACTCGGGGAGACCTTATTATGCAGTACAATATATGAGGAAGGGAAATTAGGCCGCCCTTTAAGGGTTATCTTTCTCACTGTCTCAAAGGTAGTAAACACGTAGTCAATTTTTAATAAAAGTATTGCTGTAGTAGCCCTTTATTTTATTTTATAATGTCTTAAACCTCTTTATGTAATAATCCACAAGGGAAAAAAGTTTCAAATCAATTAAATGAGTATAAATGTCACTATAAATTGATTTTCCTTAATTAAAAAAAATTAAAAATGTCTTTCTTTCCAAATAGAATCTTTCTTCTCATTCCAAAATTTTGAAACTCTCACAATTTTTAAATCAATGCTTGATAAATACAAGCCCTTCCGCGGAAACCGGTAATTTTTTCCGGAATTTTAATTTCCCCGAATTTTAATTACTCGGGGAGACTTGATACAGTACAATATATGAGGAAGGGAAATTAGGCGGGAAATTCCCAATAGATAGACTGACAGAGTTTCCATCATTTTCATCAGTTAAAATTTATTTTCATAACGACATCATCGGGAAATAAAATAAAATGATACAGAATTTGGAGAAATACTTAATTCCACAATTGGAAAAAGTTGTAAATTACGTTGAATGAGTAGATGTCACTATTGTATAAAGTGGTTTTTCTCATGTTCAAAATAATTCAAAATGTCTTTCTTTCGAAACATACACTTTTTTCATTCCAAAAATTTGAAACTCTCACAATTTTTGAAAGCAATGCTTGATAAATACAAGCCCTTCCGCGGAAACCAGTAATTTTTTCCAGAATTATTTTCATAACAAACATCATCGTGACTTAAAATAAAATAATACAAAAACTTGAAGAAATACATCATTTCCACAAGGGAAAAGAGTTTCAAATCAATTGAATGAGTATAAATGTCACTATGAATTTATTTTCTTCATTAAAAAAATTCAAAATATCTTTTGTTTCAAATAGAAACTTTTTGCATTCCAAAATTTTGAAACTCTCACAATTCGATTGGGAATTCCCCCTAATTTCCCTTGAGTAATGAGTAATTAAAATTCTGGAAAATTCAAATTCCTGAAAAGAAGTTACCAGTAATGTAAGCAATACGCCACAACAAACTTCCGTTAGATGGCAGCACATCAAAATTAAGAACTCAAATTAAAATAAAAGTTGCTAATTGATTAATCAGGTGAACCATCGAAAAAGATCAAACATCTTTGTTGCTTACTCCCCAAAAAAGATTGCATTCAAAATAAAAAACAGTTTTAAAAGTTTTGCACGGGCTTAATTTCATGACAAAAACGCTGAAAATCGCCAAGAAAAAAAAAACAAGCTCCTTTGAGCAACGAAAAAGTAATCTTGATTCAAAAAATAATACGAGCAAAATCCTTCTTTTTTTGCCGAAATTATGATAATCCTTTTTGTTTCCATCCCAGATTTTCGACGACTAGAATTATTTTGCAACTAGGCGGGAGAAATAGAGACTGAGAACTTCCTTTCTGCTCTTTTTCCACGTTCAGAATACATATATTTTTTTGCATTTCCTTTCCCTGCACATCTGCTTCATCTGTTGAATTGAAGAAAAATTTGCACACCACAAAAAAAGGAGGAAAAGAAACGCTGAATTAGCAGCGCTTCGTCACAAATTTTCGAAATTTAGCAGCACTGCGATGTTGACTCAGAATTCACTCGCTATACTCTCAAGTGGGCTGATGCTCAAATTTCGATTAACTAAAAAAGAAATTATAAAAAATATACCAAATAATCCTAGTGAAACGACCCGAATTTGAAGATTTCGCAAGGTCATCGTTCATTTGCAAAAAAAGTACACGCATCTTAAAGTGCCACATTACGAAACTTTTCTCATAATCGCTCACTTCAAACTAAAATAATAAAAAACGATAAACAGTTTGATATCAGAAAAATGCAAAACACAATTTTGATTCGGCTGGTCAAAATCCGAGGTTTAGAATTTCAATTTCGAAATCAAAAGACAAGACGGGGGACTGAGCCAAAAAAAAGGAGAGTTTCACGGAAAATTTCGCAGGATATTTTCCGAAAACGTGCAAAAATACAGAAATTCTTCGTGTGATGAAAATGCTTAAATTGAAAGATTCCTCAACATAAACTGTTACGAGAACGAACATCCAAAATATATTCATCACTTGAAACCCAAACAATAGTATTTTATTTCTGAGCACAATATTTTTTCCAATTAGTTCAAATTTTTAGCCGATTCGATAAGATCGCAAAAAAAAAGTATTCGGCCCATAAGTCAGAATAAAGAAAAAATTACGTAAATCACAAAAATAATTTTTATTTTTATTTTTAAATAATAAATGTTCCACTTTTTACTCGAAATGAAGCTGATCTCAGTCTAACGCTTCTGTCAAAATAACTTCTTGAAACAGTTATAGTCGCCATCTTTGTATGAAAGTGCGACTAAAAACAGAGCTGCTTCAATTATTTGATAATAAATACAAATTTTCATTTTTCGAAAGTAAAAATACACGCGGAATTTTCGAAAACGCTTTCAATATTTTTCAATCGCTATTTAACTCGTTTAAAAAATTCAGGTTCCTGTGACGTGTGTATTTTTCGGAAATGTCTATAAATCCTGAAGCAAACCCAATGATTTGCAATATTTTATCCAACTTCACAAAAAATGTTGCATATAAACAGGCCGTATATAAATTCGTTCCAACCCCGAATGCAAAATATCTATTTAAAAATAATCAGCGATAAACTTTTCTGGCCATAAAAAAAAAGAGTTTAACCGGAAAGAAAAACTGCCTCGTCGAAGCTTTTTTTTTTTTTTACTCCACAGCAATAAATGGTTCCCAAACCGAAAAACGAAACACCAAATCATAAATCTACAAAATAATACAAGCATCAGCAAACCTCAATTTAAATTTAATAGAAACTTTTAATATAATTATTGAATAGAATTTTTCTGACCATTCAGACGCATTATCTCATAAATCGTGCCTCACGCAATATTCGAGAAAAGTGAAACTTCCGCGATAGTTTAATGTTGAAAATAATAATAATAATAATAATGAGAAATTCTGACTCACCATCATTGGGCGCCGACATGCCGGACGAGTGGCGCCGGACCGGCGCCGGTTGGTACGGCGAATGGCGAAAGGATCTCAAAGAGTGGTGGCTCGGATAACCACGATCCGGCGCCGCTGGCCCAGCAGCCACCTGGTGGTGCACCGCTGCGTGGTGGTGAGGGTGGTGGTGGTGGTGGTGGTGGTGCGGGTGCCCAGGCGCCACTCCGGCGCCGCCAGAAGACACCCCGGGGCTTCCACCGCCGCCTCCCATTGCTCCTCCGGCGCTCGGCACCCCCAGGAACCACGGGGTGTCTTTTTTTTTTTTTAAAGAAAAAATTGGCAAGATGCCAAACATTTTTTATACTCTTTGACATATCGCAATAAGGCATATTGTTGAAAAAGGCTTGATTTAAAATTTAGAGCAGAAATTATCGATTTGCGGGGCGAAATAATTGTCTAAAACTGTAGCGTCTTTTTTTTTTAAGAATAAATTGGCAAGATGCAAAAAAAAATTAGTTCAACACGTAATTTTTAATCATAATAAAATCCTTTCCATTTGAAACTAAAAAAAAAAAAGGATTTCACGGGTCACGTTTTCGAATGAAAAATGTTGAGCAATTTTTGCTTTGGTTTGGGGATATCTTCATTTTTAAAGCAGTTTGTTATCCTAAACTTGGTCTGCTATTCTTCACTGCGATATGCGAGTCTTTCGTGCGAAACACATTTTTTTAAACTTTACATTCCTGCAAAATGTTCCGAAAGTGGTTTCAGTCTCCTGATTTCGTTCCCCTGAATATTTGCGTCCTACTAAATTTGAAGCCAAAACGCAGGCAAAAAAAAAACATGATTTCAACTCAACCCAAATAAGCAGAAATTCGAATTATGCACAAATTTAGCAAAGGAAGAAAATGCCCAGGGGGGAAAAATAGAAGAAAATATGCTCACATTGACACTGAGAAGAAAATTGGACCATGTCCCGACCCGGCATGGAATCCGACCTCTCCTTTGTGTCCAGAAATGCCTTTGCAAACGGATTGTGTTTTATTTTCAAAGCTGTCACCTGAAACACAACATAGAAATACTTGAATAATATGCAAAAAGACAAAACAATAAAGAGACTGTTGCTTTTAAAAATTCTACTCATCATAGTCTGATTAAACTGAAGGAATATTCATTTTCAAATCTGTCTTTTGATTCCATATGAAAAATATACTTGGGTTTTCTGAACATCCTGTTTACTTTCTTTTCTTCAAAATTTCCATTTCACACTCTCTGCGGAGTATGCGTAACTTTGCAAATATTTCACGCACAAAATGATTGGCTATGGAAATTGTCTGTTAACTAAGTTGTCAACATAGCATATAAATCAAAACTGCATTGGAAAAGGAATCACAGTTGAACCTCTCAATGTCAAATTTCAAGGGACCAGTACAGGCAATACCTCACAATTTGATAATAATCCATTGCCAAACCAGGGTCAAATTGCAAAATGGTCAAATCGCAAGACACTTTGTGTAATGCTACGTTATCAGTGCAAAAATGTGAAAAAAGTGGCCAAAGAAGTCAAATTGCAGGGGAAGGGTCATATTGCAAGTCAACCTCCCGCTGCAACTTTGACCATCAAATTGCAGGATGGATGAATTGCTAGAGGTCAAATTTCAAGATACCCCTTGTAAACAATTTGACTTAAGGAGGTTTTGATTTATATAGATATTTGACTTTTGGAATCATGCATTTTTATTGTGGGAAACATTGAAGAATTGCTTTAAATTGTGCACGTTGATATTCTGGGCCTTTAATTGCTTCTAAAATGAGTTGACAGGGTGCTGAACTTGGAGACAGTGGTTCATTTGCCCAATTTAGTCTGTCACATCCTTCCAAAGCACATCAAATTCAATTTTTTATTCCATTTTTTTCTTTCCTGCTTCAATAAGATAATAGACAGAAGGCCTCAAAAATTTTGACTTATCAAGGTTTTAGAGGGAAAGCCTTTGAGCTTGGGAGGTTTTCAATGCTTTGTTTCTAAGGGAATTCAGATGGGGGCATACAAAATTTAACTTAGGGAGGTTTTGACTTAAGGTGGTTTTGATTCATATAGATGTTTGACTTATGAGACCAAGCATTTTATTGTGGGAAACATTGAAGAATTGTTTTAAATTGTGCACGGTGATATTATGGGTCTTTAATTGCTTCTAAAATGAGTTGACAGGGTGCTGAACTTGGAGACAGCGGTTCATTTGCCAAATTTAGTCTCTCACATCCTTTCAAAGCACATCAAATCCCATTTTTTATTCTTTTTTCTTTCTGGTTGCAATGAAATAATAGTCAGAAAGCCTCAAATTTTTGACTTATGGAGGTTTTAGAGGAAAAGCCTTTCAGCTTGGGAGGTTTTGAATGTATTGTTTCTAAGAGAATTCAGATGGGGGCATACAAAATTTGACTTAGGGAGGTTTTGATTTAGGTAGATATTTGACTTATGAGACCAAGCATTTTATTGTGGGAACCATTGAAGAATTGCTTTAAATTGTGCACAGTGATATTCTAGACCTTAAATTGCTTCTAAAATGAGTTGACAGGGGGCTGAACTTGGAGACAGTGGTTCATTTGCCAAATTTAGTCTCTCTCATTCTTTCAAAGCACATCAAATTCCATTTTTCATCCCTTTTTCTTTACTGTTTCAATAAAATAATAGCCAGAAAGCCTCAAAATTTTTGACTTATGGAGGTTTTAGAGGAGAAGCCATTGAGCTTGGGAGGTTTTTAATGCATTGTTTCTAAGAGAATTCAGATGGGGGCATACAAAATTTGACTTAGGGAGGTTTTGATTTAGGTAGATATTAGACTTATGAGTCCAAGCATTTTATTGTGGGAAACACTGAAGAATTGCTTTAAATTGTGCACGGTGATATTCTGGACCTTAAATTGCTTCTAAAATGAGTTGACAGGGGGCTGAACTTGGAGACAGTGGTTCATTTGCCCAATTTAGTCTGTCACATCCTTTCAAAGCACATCAAATTCCATTTTTATTCCTTTTTTCTTTCCTGTGGCAATAAAGTAATAGCCAGAAGGCCTCAAAATTTTTTGACTTAGGGAGGTTTTGACCAAGGGAGGTTCTGATTTATGTAGATATTTGACTTATGAGACCAAGCATTTTATTGTGGGAAACATTGAAGAATTGCTTTAAATTGTGCTCGGTGATATTCTGGACCTTATATTGCTTCTAAAATGACAGGGGCTGAACTTGGAGACAGTGGTTCATTTGAAAAATTTAGTCTCTCACATTCTTTCAAAGCACATCAAATTCCATTTTTCATCCCTTTTTCCTTTCCTCTTTCAATAAAGTAATAGCCAGAAGGCCTCAAAAAATTTGATTTATAGAGGTTTTAGAGGAAAAGCCTTTGAGCTTGGGAGGTTTTTAATGCATTGTTTCCAAGGTAATTCAGACCAGGACTTAAAAAAAAAAATGATTTAGCAAGGCTGAACTGTAGTACTAAAGGAACAACATAAAATGGAAAAAATGTTTTAGTTTCATCTCCGTTGAGGTGTTGAAAGTAAGTACGCATTACCCAGCAGCACAGAAAAGTTCATTTATTTAAAAAAAAGTTTAGTTCACACAAATACACACACTCGAAAGAAATTATACAAATGAATCCACAACACGATTATTATTCTTTTACTGAATTTCTTTCTTTTTTTTCATTCCTCTCACCTCTTCATTCTGGTAGGCAGTCACGGCGATGAACTGTGTATCCGGCAATGGGTGCGAAGAAATGCATCGCTGATCCCCACTGTTCACCTCGACTATGTGCAACCGGGGCTCGTATTTTTGCAACGAATTCAGCACAATCTGCCCCTCCTCCAATCACATTCGTTCGTTTGTTTGTTTGATTGTTTTCGTTCCGGTTTCCATCACACACAAAAACACACAGCACGCAACAATCAAATTTTTTTTTTCATTTGTTGTCGTCACGCCCCGGATATGCGACACAGCATGTGGAGATGGACCGAGAAAAAAAAAATAAGAAGAAAAAGAAACAGACAAGAAAATGAGGACTATTGATTCAAATAAGATATAAAAATGATCAGAATGGGTTAATGATAATAAAAAAAAAGACCACTGATTCATCGCAGCATGATTTTTCAGAATTAAAATAATGATGCGATTATTATTGCGAGTATTTCTTCCTGCAATCGTATTTGTTCGTTCTTTTTTTCGATGATTTTTTTTCGAGTAATTAGACAAGAAATGCGGTACATCAGCATTATCGAGTTTTTAAACCTAACTGCTGCTGATTCAAAGGTATGGCTTTTTTTCAAATTAGCATATGCGAGTGCATTGAAACAAAATGTCGTGAAATTACGTTTGCACAATTGTTCACTTCCGTTAAATGCGATTTTTGTCAACAGTACGCAAATCTCTACAAGCATGCAAAAATTTTTGGAGAGAAAAAGGAAAGAACACGCAAAGGATGAGGAATACTAATCCAAACAGGAAGAAAAACAAATATTTGCGGAATTTATTTTGAAATCTTGACTCAATGCATGATTTTATTCAAATTAGAAAACGAGATTATTGAAAACAGCTTCACGATCATATTTTTATTTTTAAAATTACGTTAACAATGCGAGCATCAAACACATAAAGTAAATAAAAACCACGAAAACATTTAGGAATGAGTTTAAGTTTAGAAATTTCATATGTGATATTCGTCGCAATTTCGTTTCGAAAGCTCGATTTCAAGCATGATTATTGGAACGAAAATGCGTTTATTACAAAAAAAATTGGTTCTCAAAACAAATGGATGTACTGTATAATCGTTCATTTTCGTTTTCAAAAAATCCTCTTCTATCTTTTCATCGACTCTGCGTAGATTGGATTCCATACAAAATTCAAAAAGATGAACTAGAACACCTGGAATCTTGATTAAAATTTTAAAAATCCTCTTTACAGTTCAGAATTTTGTGATTCAATTTTAAAACTTTAGCTTGTACCTTAACGCGATCTTTAAAAATCTAAATTCAAGATAAGAAAAAAACATTTTCCTCCTACCACAATAATGTTCATAATTCCTCGTTTTCGTTTCCACAAAAAATTGCATTCATCCTTTTTGTCAAGGCTCTAGATCTCAAAACATATGAGTCCCAAATAAATGGATAAACTAGGATGGAATACAATGAATGTTGAATCGAAAAAGAAATATTGTTTGATGTTTTTCAGTGTTTAAACCTTGATTCCAAACAATATTCGACCAATTAAAATACTTTGAATAAACTCAATCATCCACCCGGATTTGTTTGTCCATTTCTAGCCAAATATCTTCCCCCGCCACTTCGTACATGAAGATAAATGTGAATTCAAATTTTAAACAATCTCAAATTGGATCAAGACAAAACATAAAATACATGCGTTTTCGGAATAATTTTTTTCTCTTCAAATTTTGGAACATTCACTGGCTGAAATCGATTTTCGGTGGATTTTTTATGCTTCGAAACCCCCCAAGTATTCATTATTCGAATCGAAGCACAGAATCAGTGAAAAGCGTGGGGCTCATAACTTTTTTTTTTAAATATTATCTTTATTCCTACAAGAAACAAGGTGATGATTTCCCTCCACCAGCAAAATTAATCCGAAGGCAAGTATATAGTTTTAGAGCTTCCGCGCTAAAAGCGGAGAGAACGCAATTCGCGGTCGAAACAATAAGAGACGACATTTTTATTTTTTCCTCTTCTTCTTTCAATAAAATTTCATAAAACCTGATTTTATTTTTTAAATTTGTGTGAGAGGAAAAAGGAAAGCTGGGAGAGGTTGTTCGAAGAGAGAGGCTCACCTGGCCGCAGCCATTTGTCTTGTTGGTCAATTTGACCTTAGCGAAAGAAACCGGGTCCTTGGTCCAGTGGGCACCGAAATTGGGGCTTTCCGGGTGCACGTAAACTGAACACTGAGGTTGTGGTTCGCTTTTGCCACCCGGTACCCATTCCCCGTTCACGTATTTCCACCTGAAACAATCACGACCACGCGAACAAACAAAAAATAATAAAAAATAAGTTGAAGCATTTTACATCATCAAGTTCGACAGATTTTCAAGATCACGTCGTAATTTTGAATAAATATCGGTTATTTGAGATCAAGAACTTTTTCCGTAATTCCAATATAAAAAAAAAAACCTTCAGTTATTGTTTCAATAAATAACTACGCAAATTTTGCCGATGTCTCAGCATGAATTTCTCACTCACTCACTCCACAAACTTTGACAATTTTAGACAATCCGGAATCGTTATGAAAATGGCACAGAACTAATCACTGGATTCAATTTTGCGTTACTGCTATTTCTGCTCTAGCTCTTCTCAACTTTTTTTTTAAATTTCCATACACATCTCAAGTGGTTTTGATTTGAATTTTGATGGAAATCCGCAACAGAAGACTCCACATAAAATGAACGAAGATAAAAAATAGTAAAATTAAACCAAATTTTGAACATTCTGGAATTAGGAAAAAAATTGAAAAGCAACTCAACAAATAACTGCGATTTCCAAAATGCTAAAAATTCGTTCAATTCCAAGCTGATTTCGATTTTATTTATTTTTACCAAAATAATAGTGTGCATTAAAAAACGCAATAAATTCCGAGTTAAATTTTTTAAAAGACTGCTTTCGAATGGCAAAACTTGAATAATCTTCGGCAGAGAATTTTTTTTACAAATTAAAATAAATCCACTGGATTCAAAGTTTCAATTTAGAAGCAATCAATTAAAAAATGTACACGTCTGCAGACAATTTAAATGATTCCTCTTTTTTTTCTAATAATACCTTTGAAAACGATTTAGAGTCGGAATTGTTCATGAAATAGCCCATCGAAAATCGTAGGCGTCATTTTTGGCTAGTATTTTTCAGTGCTTTTTTTAAAAATCGCGAGAAACTTTTCATTGAATAATCACGAATTATACTCAATAGTTTTTAGAACGTACAAAAAAATCACCACATGATAAGTAGTAAACCAAAAATGTGTCTTTTTGTTTGTAAAATAAGCTGGACAAGTCAACAATAGATCAACGAACTCTTTCAGTAAACAAAACCACAGTTATTTTAATTTCTGGCGAAAAACAAATACAGTACTGTACTGTATACTGTATAATAAAAACTGAAATATCAAAGCGAAATCTCGAAAATTGCTCCCCGAAAACAGGAAAAGGGTTTTGATGAATGGTCGAACCACAAACAAACCAGAAAGTCCCAGGATCTTTTATTTTTCAAATATTTTATTTTCAGCGCAGGAAACCAGCTGAAAACATCGTAACCCGAAATGGCAAATCGGTTCCGGAAAACCCTCTCTTTTCAGAAACAAATACGCCAAAAAATACAGTTACCCTGAAATTTAAGGGAGAAAGAAAAAAAAACAATTTCCCCGGGCTTCGCCAAGAATTTACCGCCACCCGTGGGGTTCGAATATGAGGCATTCGTTATGCGCCCCCGAAAACGTCGGTTTTTTTTTTTTTATTCTTCGTGGGTTACAAAAATGCACTTATTTTCTCCAGAAAATAAAACCCCATGAACCAAAAAAAAGTACATAGATAGGAGAAAAACAGACACGAGTTCATGAAGTTTAAACCCACCCACAATAACTCACCGATTATTGTCAATTTGCACAAACTCCAGGAGCACTGAGTACATGGCCGAGGGATCCAAGCCAGAAATGGAAACTTTGACAACTGGGAACATTCTCCTGAAAAAAAATGAAAAACATTGAAATTCAGAAAGATTCGCGCAACTGCGATTGCGAAAACATCCAACGGAACGCTTGAAAAATCCCACGTATTACGGATGTGCAAAAATATATCCCCATTATTATTCATATTTTGGCGATTACAGTCAGAATAATACCACTTCCTCTCAAAACCTATTGAAGGCTTAAATAAATAATTTTTTCATAATTTGAAGATTTATGCGTTTAATGTCAATATTGACTATTTTTCAGCATATATTAGACGCGTGGATCCAACACAAATCCCCGGATTTAAATCGGCGAAGTTCAAGCTATTTGTAGAATATGATTTCAGAAGGTTCCATTTATTTTATTGATCTTCAACCAGTTTTAAACACTAAATACTGTACTCGGTAAAATGAAAAGAATACAGTATACATTGCTGCATTGTACTTAAATCTACGAAAGATCCACACGCTTACACAACAAAATGTCCTCCCAAAAATCATATAAAGTTTTATCCATTTTTTATTTATTAAAATTTCTCTAATGATTATTCCATCTTAAAGAATTTGCGTCAAAGATTGGCTGAAGAACAATAAAATGTTTTCCTAACCTATCAATCAGAATAACATTTTAAAACTCGTCTCAAATTACTTAAATTGGCTTAATTATTTCCTCGAAGCAAATCAATAAATATCCGTTATTTATCCCGTTTACGGCCGGAATTTGTGGACATCCGATTTCACATGAAAGAGAAAATCCACAATTTCTGACTGCTTCGCGTAGAGATTTGAAATGAATGTGATAAAATATATGAGTATTTGACGTTTATAATTAAGAGTTCCTGAAAGTTCAAATTTAGATTTCCAAGTTTCTAACGTTTCGAAACCTTGATTCATTGACATGCGCTATTTATTTTTGAAAATAGTTTCGCCGGCATTTTTTCTTTAAAAACTCATAATATGACGCAATTAGTTATTGAATGAAAAAATGGTGTAATGTCATCGAATTAAACTTGCATTTGAACTAATGCTGTGTTGTTTAATTTTCAGCTTCCGTGTTTTTGAAAAGTCATGATTGTACGAATGTCAGTCGAAAATAATCCGCTTCACCCATTATTACGTCTGAAAATACAGAAATAAATTATTATATTTTACTGTATTCGCATAAAGTACTGTATATTGATAATGTCTCGTTTTCACGCTAATGCAAAAGTTGGGAGATTGGAAGCTTTTATTGCAGTTTACAGCAGAATCTTCATTATTCTATATTTTGACCTATAATGATTGAGAATCTGCTACTGTATAATGCTGTATAAAATGAACTGCAAAATTTAATTTCAAATTCATTAAAAAATAACATACAGTAAATAGAAAAATTCAAAGTAAAAAAAAAATTATTTGAAAAACATTTCTCGAGATCACGAAAAGTAAAAGCAGGTGCAAAACACAGCAATAAAGGTAAAATTTTGGAAAAGCATTTCATCAATTTCATGAGGAAACCAATTTTTGGCCGATCGAAACACAAATACTCCAATCGAGCATATGATTGATTTAAACGCAAAATACTGTAATCCATTTTGATGCTACAATAAAAATATTTAATTTTGCAGAACCGATTCAAGAGAAGAAAAAAATACACGTTTAACCAAATTATTTTACCGACGTTTCCCTTTCATCTTCACATCTTCGTGTTCAACGTTCGCAAAATGTTTTCTCAAAATGGAAACAAGCCCTTTTTGAACAAACACATTTAATTCAACTTGCTGGTGGTTTCGTGTCGAAATATTTGCATGGAGAACTTGAAACTGAAATCTCCGTTACGCAGTCTGAAATTCTAAGAATACACAACGAGAAGACTGATTCTTTAACAGCGATTCCAGCTTAGCATAAGTAAAGAAACGTCGATTTAAAATGCGTGCAAATAATTTTTCCGAGCGAAGCATTATTTCATCGTCTTGTCTGCATTTCATGACGCATATATTCCATAGCTAATTAAAAAACAAAGCATTAAAAACTTGCAAGAAGACTTATGAAATCAATTGTAAGATTTATTTTTTGCGCTTTACAAATGAACGGATAAATTGTGCCTTCGAATGATAGACTCGCTTTTATTACTGTAAAAATAAATGCATTACTGATCAGAAGGGTTCGATGATCATATTCATACTGTAATTTTCGCACAACATAATTTTACTTCGAACCCGTTAATTTACGATTAAATATAATATACGTATACCCTGGAATAAATGAAAAAGGCGAGGGAAGTTAGTTCGACTAAATTGTCGATGATTTCCATTCAAAACTTTTAAATTCTTTCAGAGACAATAATGAAACCTGAGAATCGAAAACATCGTCGAATGGAAAACGCAGTCCGAACTTTTGAACAAACATGAAGAAGAAAGCATATTTTACTTCAGCATTATTTCAATAAAAAATATTTTTATTTTCATTTAAAAAAGTGCTAGGTTACATTGACATTGTTTATATTTTTTCACGGGCTAAAATACTTCAGCAATTTGATCGATTTTACGGTTCATAGATTATAATTTAGGTAAATTTTGAATTAGGTTGAGTCGGATGAAAATCAATCGCTTTCGTTTCTCTCTGATAATCACAAAAGAAAAGTTGTCAACATCGCAGAAATAGAAAATTACAATTAATTGGGCAGCTTTAACACTGATAATTGCCTTGAAGTTAATTATCATGACGTTCTGGTACTTGCTCAAGAAAGAAAACGATAAAAAGGAAGGGAATTTCTGCTAAAATCTAAGTTCAAGAAGGGTTCTGTAAACGTTATTTTTCGGTGAAAATTTCAAACAGCTCTTGTAGCCCAGATATATCTTGAGAATTTAACCAGATTGCGCAAATTTATTTTTTCACAATGCAGTGACGAAAAAAAAAGGATTTCATCTTATCCTGTCAGAAAATGCTCATGTTCAGACAAAATCTCAGCTGGGATGAATTTATTCGAAGTTGAAGGAACCATCATTTATTGAATATTTTCGGAAAATTAATTATTACAAAATATCCTGTAAAGTATACTATATTTCAATTGAAGCTTTCAACGTCTTTGGCCTCGGTCTTCATATTTTTGACGCAAATCTTCCCTTTTCTTCATGGCTAAAGGTTAGACATCGCCCAATAAAATGAAATTTCACCCGATTTCTGGGATCTTATTCGTCGATTCTTGAATTTTACCAATTTAAAGGAACCATCATTTTTCTCAGTTTCGTATTATGTATTATAAAAATGATGTTCTCCGTCATATATTTCAAAATACACGTACTCGATGTATTATTCTAGTATACACACGTACCAAATAAATAATCTGCAAAAAAGATTCCAAACGCATTTCCGAATTTATTTTTTTAGACGAACTGTCCGTTTTCAGGATGAAAAGCGACTGAAATCACTTTAACACGAAACGAAAGATAGTAATGATAGTAGTAATGATAATGATAGTAATGATAGTAACGAAACGAAAGATAGTAAGTAACGAAAGATAGTGAAAAAATTACATGTGCCATTCCTTTCATATAATTTCTTAAATTAATATTTCTAAACCGATCGAATGAATTGATTTGAAAGTTACAATACAGTACTTTGAATTTCCTTCACAATTTAAAAGCTTAATTCATTTTGCTTTCCTAAGTGAGCAGATCCACTGGACTTTTTCTAAAAATATTCAGATTTTGCAAAATGTTCGGGGAAAACGGCCGATTTTCCGTGACCATGAAAGGAAATACATTTATTCACAATCGCACATCTGAGACTAAATACGTCATTTAAAAATTAGTCGAAGCATAATTCTTGTCGGTTTTTTACGCACATTAAAATGAAACGAATGAAAACTAGCTGTTACAAATAAATTTCAAGTCGCGATTTCTTGCATTCATCTCAGAATTTCAAAGAAATAATTTCCCGAAACATTGTTTTTCAATGGTGAACGAATTTGATAGATTTATAAACAATTTCCGGACACATGATTCCACTCATATTCGCAAAAAAAAAAATTATTCACAGCAGATTTTTGCGCATCAGCAGTGAAACACCTATTTTAATTCCGCGCTCAAAATCTTCAGATTTTGTACCACGAAAAAAAACAAGGAATAAATGGGTAATTTTGACACAAACCTGCCGTTTTTCGTGACGATCATCTCGTTCGTCAAGGTGTTGAACTTTTTCCACAATGTCTGCTCTTCCAGTCGAATCCTCGGCACGCCGATCGCCGATAAGGAGCCATCTTCCAATTCAGACTTCACCGAACCTTTCACGTCCTTCTCCACCATCGACATGATGTGGTACTTGGACATTATGTCTCCTTGCATCATTCGGACACCAAAAACCACACGCCACCCACTTTTGCCCCACTGTGGTGCCAAAGACGAAAAAAATGTGTCAAAATTTAGAGTCGACTTTTTCTCGCGTGAATAAGTCTATATGTTTTTCTGACGAATACTTCGGATTAAACCCCGCAAATGGAAAATTAATCTTTGGGGAGGGGAAGATAATGATGGCATTTCGTAGTTCCTGACATTTTCCTCAGCAAACACAATTTGATGATTCTAAATTGTGTTTTCAAATGGGAAATAAATCCGTCTTTCATTCACCGAAATTGAATACGTCTGCTGGATTTGATAAACCTCAGTAGACTTTATAAGGCCTAAAGGTAGTGGTTTCTTTTTGGTAAAGGCAACTTCCTTTGTATTTGTTTGAGCAAAGGCGCTTGTTCACAGATACTATTTAAAACGTAAACAGCTTCATTTTTGTCGGTGATTTTTTGTATTTTAAAATGCGCATGCAGGGGTGAAATAAAGCCAAATTTCGTCACTTGAAATATGCACGATATTTTTTCCATTTCTTGCATTCGATCTCTGAACTTCTGGACTTTCAAGTACAGTAATACAATTTATAGATTTGTAGCACCAATAAGAAAACCCTTTGCCTTTCAAAGAAGCACTAGCGAACCCACTTCCGCGGAGAACTTGCAATAACTTTTTCCGTCAAAATGTTTTAATATTTTTTCAATTTAAAATGCGCATTCACGTGAAGAATGAAGCCGTCTTTCATTCCCCGACAGATCACTTATTTCTAATTACTTCAGTTTTTTCTCTGAACCGAAACGACTTCAAACGTACCACTTTTCCCAACAAAAAAAACTTCCGGCAACACGGTGGAAATACAATTTTTGAAAAACCGCCGCACGCCAGAAGCTTCCAAGCACGCACTGTCCAGCCCAGGAGTCGCATGCGCGGCAAACCGGCGACTATGGATCCACCCCAGCAGCGACGCCCCGAACTGTCAGGGGTGAGAGAGAGAGAGGGAGGGGCAAAGGCGTGACTCAGGCCGCACGTCGCTCCTCTAGACCAATCCCGGGCATGCGTTGAAGGCGGGGCTTAAATCACGGCTGGCCCCCCCAACTGTGCGGTCGCAGTTGGGAGCCGAGAGTGGGCGGGACCACGCGGCCTCTTTCATATCGGAATCTTCCCAGGTTTATCCTCCACGACACACACACACACACTCACAAGGCGATTGCCCATAACTTCGCAGTTTCCGAACGAACGGGCATCGGTTTCGAGTTTCCAACCATGAATTCTTCGAACGAAGGAAAATGGATTCTAGGATGTATATACCATAGCGTAGTTTGTTAAGTTGCGTATTTTTTCTTTCTTTCTTTCTGTTTGGTAAATGTAGGAAGAAAAGACATTTGCGTGCGTGAAGACCAGCATTTATCCTTGGGAGAAAAAAGAAAAAGAGAGCTCTATTTTTCCGGGGATTATATTCAACACAGCTCTCGAGACCGCTTAATGATTTTCAAGGCTGAAACACTCGGGGAAGGATCAGCGGAAAAAACAAGAGGATTTCCGGAAATTAAACAGGACTTGTTTCTTTCAGAAATGCATATAAAGCTTCTCCTTTTCCCCCCTGATTTCATGGGCAGAAAAATAGACTAGAAGGGACGATTCGAAAGTTTCCCTGTTCGTCTTGAATTTCGAATCTTCATAATGAGCATTAGTTTGGACAATGAACACGCATTTAAAAGCTCTGTGAGATAAATTACAAGACTTGAAGGCTCCACTAAGAGTTGTCTTCCATGTCTTGAAAAGTATTCTCGAGAGCTGAAATTTTACAAAAATCTTCATCTGGATGTTCACAAACCCAAACCCTTGTATAATGATCTTTTTTTCATTGCTTTTAAGATGTGGGGAACTGATTGAAATATCAAAGGCCTTTGAAATTGTTGTTATATAGTACAGGTGCTACCTTACAATTTGATCCTAATCTGTTGCTGGACTCGGGTCAAATTGCAAAGTGGTTGAATTGCAGGACAACATCAAAAGGCATGTTTTCTACATGGCATTCCATGTTTAATGTCTCTCCAAATGTCAAAGTGTGGGGCCTAAATGTTGAATTGCAAGTCAACCTCCCAGCAAATTCAACTGTCAAATTGCGGGAGGTCAAATTGCAAGGTACCACCTGTGAAATCTGGAAAAAAAAGCCGCTTGGACCCAGAAAAGCTTTTGCTTCAAAACAACATTTGTTGGAATGAGATTCAATTAACATTTTATCTGACAGAAGCCTTAAAATATAACTTAATTTGAAACAAGAATTTGTAGATGAAAAATAACTATAAAAATATTCAACAGATTTTACACTGACAGCAAATGAATAAAGGTAAACCTTGGGATTACACACCATGACTTAAACAGTGGAATTTCTCAAAGTTAAATCTGAAGGGACTTCCAAAAATTTTTACAGAAAATTTGTTAAAATTGAAGCAGTGGTCAAAGTTCTTGAGGAAATTGTTGAATCAAATTGATGGTTTTATTTTGAACACCCCTTAGAAAGATTCCCAGCTGCATCCCAGGCTGATTGCCAAGTTTGTGTTCATTAAATGCCAATTGGTTGATGCATCTTTTCTTATGCCCAACATTCAACAGCTACAGAAATGAACTTCAAAAGATTTGGGACTCTTTCTGAAATCTTAGAGGCCCAAGATCATCTGTTAACTTTACATGATTTCTCATCAAAGATCCTCAACAAATTGTCTAATCAAGTAAACCTCATCTGGGAGCAGGTTGAACACCCTGTGCTTTAATTTTGGGTTTACTAATTGCTTTATGCTGCAATTCTCACTATCAATATTTCCTTTTTGTGATCAGGGAAGGGAATAGAGCGTGTGTTGTTATCCTATGTTGCCGGGAAATAAATTGAATATATGATCAACCGCGTTGACGTCTCTTTGCAATAGACTTATATTCAACTTAAATGTCCAGCAAGGACAATTTCTTGATGAGAAGCTGATTAACTCTATCAGCCGGGTCCTTGAAATGAAAGGCTTCTCTTTACCGAAACGTTAGTGTATTTTTTTGTACAGCAACAACTTCCACAGACTTTCAACAGACAATGAATACCAAGGAGATGCTTGGGTATCTCCATTATAGAATTCACCAAAAAAAAGGGGGAATGACCAGTCATGATCAGTGGAATCAGAAAGTAAACCGGATCTTGAGACGCATGACCGCAATGCACCATTGTCTATATGCAAATACAGTCAACCCCCGTTTAACGGACTTGATTCATGCAAGGGACAAGTCTGTTAGACAAAAAGTCCTTTACACAAATTCAATTACATAAAAAATTAAAAATTTCAATTTTCAATGCTAATTTTAAACCAAAAGAAGTCTGTTTGGCGGATTTTGTCTGTTGGGCAGGAGGAAAAACTGCTTGCAGAGCTGGTCTGTTTGGCGAAAATCCCTTACAATGGAGGTCTGTTAGGTGGGGGGCCACTGTATAACAGGGAGGATGAGCCACATAAGAATCCACACTAAACCAGATTTTCTGTGTATATCAGGGGACACTCAAATAACCTGAGATGACA